TGCCTCCCCCACTTTCCTGGGATTGAGATTTTTTACCAATACAGCATCACCTGGGAGAAAAGGGTGAGTCAGCTTATCTGTTGGTAGAGGGAGAGAGGCAGAGACATTACCATGCATGCTGTTCAATTTCTCAATCAGTACTTGAGTGTAATCGCCGACAGTCTCCTCCAGGTCGCCTGAAAAGGAAACACCAGTATTACTTTTAGTCCAAGAGGTTGGAAATGGCTGGCCCATAATTATCTCAAAGGGAGATAGTTGTGATTTTGGATGCAGTGTCATGCGAATCTCACAAAGAACTGAGGGCAGGAGATCCACCCAGTTTCGGCCGTTTGTTTGTAATAACGCTTTGGTGAGTCTGTCTTTAATGGTTCTATTCTTTCGTTCTACTATCCTTGAACTCTGGGGATGGTAGGGAATATGGAAGTTCCAGTCAAGGTTGAGATATTTACAGAGTTTCTGAGTCACTCTGGATGTGAAAGGCGTACCGCTATCGCTGTCAATTGATTGTGGGATACCATACCTAGGTATGACTTCCTTTGCCAAGATTTTAACGACAGTGCTCGTGTTCTCTTTTGCTCAAGGCTTCAACCCATTTTGAGAACTTATCAACAATAACCAGTAAATATTTTAGATTTCTTACAGGTGGCATGTGTGTGAAGTCAATCTGTAGAGCTTGAAAAGGAGCTTGTGGAGGAGGTAGCGCGTTGTGTTGGGTGGTTTTACCCTGAACGTTAGCCCTAGCACAAATTAAACATGCATCGAGTAGTAATTTAGCAGTTTAACGACATTGAGAATACAAAATTGTTTGTTGTTATTATTAATCACCCCCCTTCGTGGGACATGTGAAATACCATGAAAATGGCGCATAAGAAATGGCAAGACAGAGCAGGGGAGTGCAATGCGGCCTTGAGGGCAACGAATGAGTCCATCCTCAACTGAAGGCGAGCAGTTCTCAGATAACCAAAACGAAAGATCCTGTTTGGTACCCTGTGTTTGTAAAAAAGATATGTCAATATCTAATGGAGTCAAAATGTGGGTAAACAGAGAAAACCCTGTGTCTATATTGTGCACAAAAGGTGAAGGTGTGCCCTCTTTGGCTGCCTGTTTAGCTACTTCATCAGCTAGGGAGTTACCGTGAGCCGTTTCAGAATCTCTTGGGTCGTGACCCTTGACCTTAATGATAGCTAGACTTTTAGGTAACATTGAGGCCTCTAAAAGGTCAGAAACCAGCGTGGCATGTGAAATGGGCTTACCATCAGCAGCCTTAAAGCCACATGTGTGCCAAATCTTACCAAAAGATTTGGTGAGCTACACCAAAAGCATATCGCGAATCAGTATAAATAGTTACCACTTGGTCTTTAAAAAGAGAGCATGCCCTTGTCAGAGCTAAAAGCTCAGCAGCTTGAGCTGAAAGGAAAGGGATCAAGTGAGCTTCGTGTACAACATTAGGCAAAGAGCAGACTACGTAGCCACATAAAGTGGTATTGTCATTGGGTTTAGAACATCTACAATGTACATCTACAATGAACATCTACAAATATGTGGACACCGCCCTCCAATGGGTGTCGTGAAAAATCTGTGTGCAGAGATGATGATTCTGAAATCTCAGTAAGGCAGTCTTGCTCCAACCAGCCGTCGGTGGCCTCTTCCTCCGAACAGGAGCACACGAGGCGGTGCAGCAGAACAGCAGGGCTATTTTGGGCTGTTCCTGGTTTAATAGTGAGATTCTGTGTGGCACAGAGGATGGCTTCGTAACCTGAGCGACGCCATGCAGTCATTAGGTTGTGTCTGAATGTTATTAAGAATGGTGACTTCCTGATGCGGTGCATGCAGTGTGAGTGGGTGCGAAAGGACAACTCTTTCGTGCATCAGAGACCTGTAGAGCAGAGACAGCAACTGAACTCAAAAATGCGGGCATACCTTGGGCCACAGGGTTGAGAGATTTAGAAAGGTATGCTATTGGACGATGACCACCGCCGTGCTCTTGGGCCCACGGCTGTGCCCCTGTCCTCGGTGACATAGAGATGAAACAGAACATTATAGTCAGGTAGACCTAGGGCTGGGGCAGAGTTCAAAGATTGTTTGAGGTAACAGAAAGAGTTCATCATTTCCTTAGTCCATTCAATATCATCAGGCATGTCTTTGAGGCAGCACTGGCGCAACACCTTGTTGTGATGGGAACAGAGAGGTATGTACTGGAGGCAGTAATTAATCTCTTCCCACAAAACTGAGCATACCTTTCTTTGTTTTGGGTGGATGGACCTCCAGTATGACTCTCAGACGATCAGATGAGAGTTTGCGCTGACCTTGAGAAATGAGAAACCCCAAATACTGAACCAGAGGCTGACAGAATCAGAGTTTAGAGAGCGAGGCCTTGAAACCACACTGGGCCAGGTATGTGAGGAGGACAAGGGAGCCTCTTCTACAGCAATCTGCATCTTTCGCTGCAAGCAGAATGTCATCTGCCTATAGCAGGAGAGAACAGCCCTCTGGCAGGACGAGTGGCAACAACGAGGAACGCACCACAGATGAGAACACAGCCGGTGAGTCGATGAACCCTTGGGGGAGGCGTAAAGGCAAAGATTGGCTGAGTCTGCTCACTGACAGTGATACTGAAAAAGGCACTACAGAGATCAACAACAGTAAAATGGTCATGATCATGTGGAATGGCTGATAATGTAGATGAAACATCAGGCACAATTGGGCTAATAGGTCATTAATGTGGTGCGAATCTTGCATAAAGCGCCAGCACTTACCATTAGGTTTCTTTACTGGGTTGACAGGGGTGTTGTAGGGCGAGCAAGAGGGTTTAATAACACCCTGCTCGAGCAGAGAGTCAATGACAGTTTGAATACCCTCGTCCTTCTCCACAGAAAGAGGATATTGTTTACAATACACAGGGGTTGATGAACGGAGGTTGGCAACATACGGTGGTACCTCTACATGGCCTACTTCGTTTGAGTGCGCGGCCCACAGTTTGGATGGAACCTCAGAAAACTTGGTGAGTATGACGAGGTCACCGCAGGCCTCAGACACACACACGACGGAAAAAAAACAGAGATTAGGTGGAGTACAGAGAACAAGACGTCCTCCTTCAAAAGATAAACAACAGTTCAACTTAGCCAAAACATCACAGCCCAACAGATTGAACAGCAAGGAAGGAATGACAATGAATCTGTGATAAAAGAGAATTTGTGGATCATCTGGACTAGTAGTTTTAAGTGAGAATGTTTTAGGGCAGGTGACAGGAACCCCATCTACTCCCACAGAGTTAATACATGAATTTAAGTTTAAATCATTGAGCTGAGTTTAAATCATCGTCTTCAAAGGACCCTTCTCTAGAATAGGAATGCCACTCTTTCTCTCCTTCGGTCCATCCTGCCAAAATATCGACAAAAGTTTGGACGAAAATACCATAACCACGATTATACATCCAATCATTGGGAGTTTGCTGAGACTGGCCACTTGAACCCATTGTTACAATACACAAAGACAATAAGGTCAGAGGAGTTTGGGCCGCGTGAACTGTAGACTGTGTAGGTGCGCACAACCTCCCAGGGAAGCGGGGATAACTCTCTCACTACAACTTGGCGAGGATCACAATCAACTCCTTTTAGTTATTCTTTACACGATTCATGTGCCAATAATTCTAAACAGAATTACCCTGACCGATACACTGCAGATTAAGATTACGAAATGTGTGTAATCCTAACTGAGATAACACGGGATAACCACATGGAGGTAGGTCTACGTAACAAAGAAAATTCTTATCTCCACCTGGTTATCCCGGACGAGCCCCCAGAGAGCTGATAGATTTTCCTGGGTTCCCTTAGAATCAGGAAGAAGTCTGTGTTCGCACTGCTGCCACAACCTCTGTACAGGCCAGGGAAGAGAGTCCCAAAGAAACATGCAAAGTCAGTGTTTGAGTAGCAAAGCTCTTCAAAGTTTACCGAGGCAGACAGGGAGTATTTATACAAAAAAAAGGTGTAGTATTCTGAGTTTTCTATATGGAATATCTGCAGAAACAAAGGCGTCAGTCAAAGGCATCAGCAGAGAACTTACTCTAAACATGTTTATTAGAACAAAACAGAAGAAGAACAAAAGATATCACAAGGTCAGCACAGAGAGTGATATAGTGATAGAGCGACATATATTCATAATATATCACATCAGAAATGTACACAAACCACTGTGACCTTGTTTCCCATGCAGAGGCCGAGAAAAAAGAAGAAAAATGGGTCTTTTCCGATGCCTGAATTTTTAGGGATGGTCTTTTGCATGCCTTTTGAGATGTAGATGGACTGGAAATTGTGCTGAAACCTGTAAACTCTGGTTGATGATATTAGCTCTTCTGTGAGCACCTTGCTGGTGACAGTAAACACACCTGCTGTATTGAACACAGTTGAACAAAAGTTAAGTTGACCAGATTTCTGAAATGAAATCCAGGGACATTTTTTCATTTGGCAGGTATGTATCATTAAAATAACCAATGATAATATCTATGATGTAAAAAAAACAGGGACAATTCTGGTCCCGGTAATTTAACTGGTAACATAAACAGTGTCAGAAAATCATAGTTTACAGTACGATGGTGAGTGAAGTTTAAGTAAACTATGGAACAAACAATAAAATTGTCAAACTACAATGGTCCAGTAAAGTGCATTTAATTATTTTCCCATTCACAATAAGATGCAAAAAAAAATTCTATATACAGAAACACTGATATAGGTGTGTAGGTAGGTTCAGGGTTCCTGGGGATCCTCAGGGTCCTGGATGTCAGGCTAGAATAAAAGTGAAGTGATGTGTGGCCAAGTATGGTGACTCGGAATTTGTGCTCTGCATTTAACCCAACCAAGTGCGTACATACACACACTTTTTTTTTTTTTTTTTTTTTTTCCCTGCAGCACCCGCTTCAGTGCCTTGCTCAAGGGTCTCACCTCAGTCATGGTATTGAGGGTGGAAGAGAGTGCCAGTCATTCACTCCCCCCACCTACAATCCCTGCCGGACCTGAGACTCGAACCCACGACCCTTGGGTTACAAGTCCGACTCTCTAACCATTAGGCCACGACTGCCCAGGGCTTAAAAAGCAGGGACAGCAGCCAAAAAAAACCATAGAAGTACATCTGAACTACATCACAACATAATAGCATATTAAGATTATTATGAGACAATTACCATAATACTTACGCCAACCTAATACTTCTCTGAATACGGTGGCAAACTGGACAAAAGATGATTGAAAAACATGAGATAGAATGAAGAGTGAGATGAGATGAATGAGATGATGAGTAATAGACTGATAATAATCCACAGTAAATAAACTGATACATTGATAAAGCTGAAAAGAGTTAATCTATTCTACAATCATGACATTTTCTCATTAGAAGATTGAGATGACTACCATTACTTGACCATTCTGCCGTCATAATAACTAATGTAGCTTGTTGCACAGCCTTTAGCCAGCATACAGCTAGCTACAACAACCTTACCAAAATTAATCTATTTCATAACCTTGTTCAGCAGATATAGTAACTTTAGAATAGTATACGGCCATTAGGTAATAAGTATCTCAAACAACTTGCCTTACCTTGAAGGTGGTCCAGCTGGCTTTTTTTTTTTTTTTTATATATATATATAAAGATTCGAGCAAGTAGTAGAGGAGAATTAGTGTGAGAAGATCATAAAACTGCCATAATAAGCAGCCCCCTCTGTTGCCCAAAGTAGTAATGACACAATAGGTGCGTGTCAACCAGAAACCTCTGCTGTTCTGTCTTTCTTCTCACTTACAAGAGTTCATTCATAATTGGGGCGGTTTTGAATGCACAGCAGGTGCCAAAATCCCAAAATTGGGGAATGTGTCCGGAAATCAGGGACTGTCCCTGGAAATCAGGGACGTCTGAGCACCCAAACATAAGTATGTCTAAAACCACTCAAACCGAGCTGCTAGCCTGTATGCTGGATGACTGTGTATTGTTGATTTTCAACTGCCTATTACAGGGTCACTATAAAAATTCTACAGATCGTAGCCTATGCGTGATAGCCTCACACTGAGTGCCGTCCGATGAGTTTTGAAGCATTTGGCTGAATCTGAGATAATATAGCCCTATACGCATCAGAATTCATCCTGCTGCTTTTGTCAGCAGTCACATCATCAAGAAATACAAGGCAGCCATACATGTCTATGCAGAGTTACTGTGCTGAAGTCTTCTCCTGATTGTTGACACAGATACACCTAACTGCTGTATGCTGTTCTTTAGCTGGCAAACTGTTGTGAAGGGGTTTTTGTTCACCAGGGAAAGAATTCTTTTGTCATCGACCACAGTTGATTTCTATGGGCTTCAGGGCTTTTTGGTGTTCTTGAACTCAACAGTGCATTCTTTCTTTTTAAGAATGTAGCAAAGTTGCTTTGGCCACATCTAAGTTTTTGCTATCTCTCTGACAGGTTCATTTTGATTTTTCAGCCTAATGATGGCTTGCTTCACTGGCAGTTCTTTGGAATTCATATTGAGAGTTAACAGCAACAGATTCCAAATGCAAATGCCACACTTGAAATTAATTCTAGACCTTTCATCTGCTTACTTGTAAGTGTAATAATGAAAGAATAACACACATGGTCATGGAACAGCTGAGCAGCCAGTTGTCCAAGTACTACTTTAAAAATGAAGGACCACATATTATTTCAGCAATAAATATTGCTGAAATTCTTATACTGTTCACTCGATTTGGATTTAAATACCCTCAAATTAAAGCCGAAAATCTACACTTTGAGCTCATGTTCATTAATGTTCATAAATAATCATATATTTGGTTTACTGTAAATGAGATAAATTTGACTATAGATAAGATTATATTCTAGACAATATTCACTTGAGTCATTTTTGGAGTGCAGAAATAGCAAAGCAAAAACAAGATAATTTGTGGATTAAAAAACAACATGAATATGATAACTAAGTTTGTGTGGTGGAAAATAATTGGATTTAATAAAAATGGTACATTTAAATTAATAATTTTGGGGTTCATGTGGGTTTTATTTAATTCTGTGTAGAGATTAATTTAAAAAAATTTTCTGCTGCCAGCTTCAGACAAGTTTAACTTTCCAAAAATTGCCATTATAAATCAGTACAGTATGTAGTTTCCATGCATCCACGTGATACAATGGTGGTGGCACCCATTACCTTGCGGCCAGAGATTGGCTGGTGGGGCATTTAAACCCAGAGATGACGTCAAAGCAGACGTCACCAGTGCTGGCATTTTCTTTGTTGTTTGCCATGTGCTAAGGGTGGATTGGGATTGTATCTGCATTCATTTGTAAGCGAATTTGTTACTTGAACCGGTAAGTGTGGGTTATGTTTCCAGCAACAGGTCGTTTAGTAGTAGACGTTGTGTGCAGTCCCTTGATTCATATAGTTTTAATTATAGTGCCAGGATTAGTGGATGATATTTTCTATCTGTCCGGCCTCTACAAGTTAGATTCAAGAAACATCTATCACTGCGTAGTATGTATTGTATATTTTAATTGGTGGAATTGGTGGCATCCAGTAACAAAGGGCTTGAGGGCAGTGGTGGCTCAACAGTTAAGGCTCTGGGTCACTGCTCAGAAGGTGGGGGGTTCAAGCCCCCACTGTTGGGCCCTTGAGCAAGGCCCATAACCCTCTCTGCCCCAGGGGTGCTGTGTCATGGCTGACCCTGTGTCCTGACCCCAGCTTACTGGGACAAGCTGAGATAGGCAAAGAAAAGAATTTTAGTCTGCTGTAATGTATATGTGACAAATAAAGGCTTCTTTAAATGTTTTCAGGGGTGGTCTCAGATGATTGCTGCTATTCAGGCCTTGGAGCCCTATTTTAAAGCTCACTGTGATGACCGTATTGCTCAACCGAACAGCGCACCGACCTTCAAGGACTTCGTGTTTTCACATCTCCGCCCTAAACATTGCTGAGATGCAGCTGGCGTGTTTTGGAGCTGGCCTATTTCCCAGCTATGCACTGCAGTCTTTCTGGTGCAAGTGTATTAAGTTGCTTTTTTTCCCTGCTTCCCTTTTTGGTTTAGAGAGTGAGTGGTTTATTTATTTTCTTTTGTTTCTATTTTTCTAGTTGGTTCACAAGTCTATTGATTTAATTTCAATTAGCTGTGTTTTCTGAGTTACTCCTTTGGCATTCGTTTATATTTCGGTTTATTTATTTGGGTTATCCCCTCTTATTCTTACTCTTGTCTGGATGTTCCAGTAGATGCATAACCAAGCTCCAGTTAGTCCAGAATGCAGCAGCGAGAGTCCTTACTAGAACCAGAAGATATGACCACATCACCCCTAACTTATCCACACTGCATTGGCTCCCAATCAAATTTCGTATTGATTATAAAATACTACTATTGACCTATAAAACACTAAATGGTCTCGTGCCACAGTACCTGAGCGAAATTTTGGTCTTTTGTGATCTGCTATGCCTACTTAGATCAAAAGGTGCAGGCTATTTTTTGGTACCTCAAATAGTGAGGGCTACAGCTGGGGGAAGAGCTTTCTCTTACAAAGCCCCACAGTTATGGAACAGCCTTCCACTTAGTGTTCGGGGCTCAGAGATAGTCTCAGTGTTTAAGTCTAGGCTGAAAACATAGTTTTTTCTTAGGTACAGGGGCAGGTCTGGAGGCCATAGACTGTTGTGGTGAACTGGGATGTTTGGATGCTGTCGCCCCCCCACTCAAGCGTTCACTCAGGTTTGCCGACGGTGTAGTGGCTGGCTGCCTTACGTCCCAGGGTGCCCTCATGTCTGTGTTAGCTTCTGGCTCTCCCTTTTAGTTATGCTGTCATAGCTAGTCTTGCCGGAGTCCCTGCTTGCACTCTGCACACAAAGTACATTGTCCTTAACCATTAGAGGACAAAAGCTTACCCAACAATCTCTCCCTCTCTCTCCACCTCTCTCTCTCCCTCACTCTCTGTCGAGCTACACATGCTACTTCTGAGATGCCAGTGATCCTGACCCCTTCTGCTCCCCGGACCTGCCTGACCCATCCTGATGCCCTACTTCTGGTTGGAGTTCTCATCGGTTGAGTTCATGGTGCCATCTGGGGGCTGGGGAGATGGCTTGGGGATCACATATGGGGAGCTGTACTGTAATGGCTTGGGACTGCGATTGCTGTAGTGGCTTTGGGGCTGCAGTTGCCATGAGCACCTTCGTACTCAGGACTCCATCAGTGGACGGTGGATAGATTTTAACCGACCGGACTTCTTGCGAAAACTGTGATGAATTTACTGGTTGCACAATTGCACTTTTTGTTCATATAGTACATAATAATAGAAGGGATTTATTTATAATTGCACTATCCATTGCACCCAGATGAGGATGGGTTCCCTTTTGAGCCTGGTTCCTCTCAAGGTTTCTTCCTCATATTGTCTCAGGGAGTTTTTCCTTGCCACCATTGCCTCTGGCTTGCTCATTAGGGATAAATTCACATATTTACAATATATTTTTTTTGAATCCATTTATTTCTGTAAAGCTGCTTTGTGACAATGTCCATTGTTAAAAGCGCTATACAAATAAAATTTAATTGAGTTATTAGCCAGTAGGGTTCTGTGGCCCCTCCCTCTTTATTGCTGTTCCCCCTCCTACCCTTTGTGTCCTGCCCGCTGCCTTTGCATGTGTTTGATGTGGAATGATCTCTAATTTGATTCATTTATTGGGTTGAATTTGATGTATTCCTTTGATTCTTTTTGTTAGGTTTCTTTGGCGCAGCCACATTGTGTCCTTTATTCCTTCAGTGTGCAGGGCTCCTCCCTTCTTGTGTGTGCTCCTCCCTTCTTGTGTGTGCAGTGTGCGTACAAACACAGATCCAGCTTTGATCAAACCAAACTTCTTATTACATCCCAAGTCAAGAGTGTGTTAATCTATTTTTTGTACACAACTAATTATCGAATAAATGGATTTTGTATACAATTGTAATGAGTATGACGTTTTCAGGTAAGGGCCCTATTGTCACTTGTTCAGCCGCTGTTCCCCTACTTGGGGTGGCGTAGTCAACACCAATCTCCATAGCTCCCTCTTGTGGAGATGTCACACACAGGTAGGGGGCACCCTTATAT